CACCCATTTTCCGGTCTCCGGTGCTCTTTGTGGCCGGAAAAAATGGGGTCTGTTTTCATCTTCCATTAATGCATCTCCTTTTGCAAAATGCAATCCCATCTCTTTTCTAAAGGAAAGAATATTGGAAAAGCAAATGCTTCTCTCTGAATCCATTTCTAAACACTCCATTCATTGAGGAAACCCTCCCAACTCAGTAATATTCATTCCCCCTCTCATCGGAAACCGGCTGCCCCTGTCGGCTGTTTGGCCCCTGCTTCACCCTCACCGTTTCAGAGATTCCAAGGTTTGGTTTGAATTTCCTGTAACAGGTTACATTTCTTGGTTGTTTGACCAGTTTTAGGATTTTTTTTTTAATGATTGCTTTTGACCTGTTGTGTTCGTTGTCTATTCGGTAGCATTTGGATGCATAAACTATAAGTTTTGATGTTTTTTTTGTTTTTGTTTTTTTGAGTGACTGTTTTTACTTTACTGTCTGCTCTGCCAAATGAGAGAAAAATGTATCTTTGAGTTGTTTTATATGAATAGCTGGATTTTTTGGATGGTTCTAATGATATTTTGTAAAACTTTCCAATAAATCATCAGTTCCATACGAATGAGGCTACCGAAGTTATTAGAGTAACTTACATGCATCTGGACTAATCTAAAGAATAGTTAGTGACCCTTCAACATTTAGATTTGAACTTGTGATTTCAAACGTATCTTGAATTTTTGTTACTAATGTTTGACCACTCGACCAATGGCAATTAGCTCATATTTGAGTATTATGAGTTCTGTGGCTTCGACTTGTGGTTTTTTTAGTGAGTTTTACAGGTTGGCTAGATCTAGAAATGAGTCTGTTGGAGTGGGAAAAAGTAAAATAATAATATTAGAAGTTGAATTTTGATCTTTGATTCTATTGAGATCCATCTCCATCTTTCATTATCAAATAAACAAATAGAAAAAGGGCTAAAAGATTCTTAAAACCATATTTGATATTGTAAAGGACAACGAGTATCCAATACCCCCAGTATCTGCACGACAGTATGATATTTTCTGCTTTGGTATAACCCTCACGGCTTTGCTTTTGGTTTCACCCAAAAGACCCATACTAATGGAGATGTTGTCCCGTACTTATATACTCATATCATTCCCTTGTTTAATCAACGTGGAAATTTTCACATTCCCAACAGATATGTTAGATTATTTTCAATCAGGTCTTTTCTAAAACTGATATTCTCAATCCATAAGCTCAAATAAGGATAAAGAATGTGTCAAAGCTGAGAGATAACACTTCTAAATTGTCTCAAAAAGAGGGATGTAGATTACCTGCTAATGACAAGTGCAAATCTCTCAAGCTTGACCATCGAGTTTCGATATCTTTGCTCGAGCAGCGAGAACGTCTGCTAATCAAGCAAATATAGGAAGAGCAGAAGAAAAGTTTACTGATTTACATAAGAATAATGGTTGCAGACTTTTTTTTCTATGTTTCTATCAATGCCTATAAAAATATTGGTAATTTTTTTCACAGGTAGGAATCAGAACTGTATGAATTACTTCCTTGTTTCACCTCAAAGCATGAAGTATATATCAGAGAAGGGATGGAACTCTATCATACCTCTCCATTTGAGAGGCGAGTCGAGTTCCCATTTTTGCATATTTTCAAAAGCGAAGGCGTCGGGCTATGGACCGGGCAACACTCCGGTATATCTGAATGTATATGACTTGACAACTGTAAATGGCTGTGTTTTCTGGGCAGGTGTTGGCATATTTCATTCTGGGATTCAAGGTTTGTTGGTTCCTTTTCTTGTTGTTTCAGATGATGCAAAAATTACTCCAAAGGAATTGTTATTACCCCAAAAATTGCCATCCTTTCTTCGTTGTTATAGCTATTCAATTTAAAACTATAATTCGGTGTAATGCTGCCACGATAAATAATAGTAATCATTGATATGACATCAATAATCTTAACATGATTGAATATTGAATAAAGTCGAAACAGGAAAGAAAAAGAACAGCTTTTTGAAAGCAAGACAATAGACACTTGAACAAAAAATTTCTATGCCATTTCCATGGCTAATCTAGAAAAGGGAAGGAAAATGCACTTGGGAATCAAGAACTTGGTTTTAAGGACTTAAAAAGTTGTTTCAAAAGCTGAAGAACTGTGTCAATATGACAGATTGTGTGTTAGGAATCCACTCATGAGCTAGTTGCCTTACCTTCGGATAACTGTATAGGTTCGTCTATTATGTTCGAGCATTTATTTTACGTATCTTGCGTGTTTATACGACACTCCGAGAATCGAGATACAGTCTTGATGCTTTCTGAAAGCATTCGAGATATTGAAAGAAGTACTAACTGTATTGGAAGACT